AAGTAGTATACTTTTAACTTACCCGAATCCGTGATACAGTATCACGACTGCAAACGATATGCAACAATAAGAATTATAATCAAATCCTAAGACAGTCAATCACACTTCAATAAAGTAAAGCTAACAAATGGTCAAGAAAAAAACCCAGTTGGCAGTTGTCTTCATGTTAAATTATGATTAGTGTGTGAAGATGGTCGTTGTCTTATTCTGTTTCGTACTTCGTTTATAAGGCTTCACATTCTACTCTCTATCGAAGTTTGATTCGTTTTCAGTGTGGTTAAGAGTCTTCATTTGTCCACCTTTGACTGTACATACGATATTGAACACAGCCGCGTAGCGGATGATCAGCATCATGTAGACAATTTTTCATATCACTGGATATCCCTTCGTAGAATGCTTTATGCATGGATGTAGTTTTTGAACTCATCGATTGTCCACACCGACGAGGCGACGATGAAGTAACCTCACGAAATAGCATCACTTATGAGTCTTAGCTTTTCCTTTTCTTTACTTTCCTTTGGTATGCGATGTGTTCGAAGCCACTAGTCGACAGATGTAGTAAGATTTTATCCGTCCGTAACATATTACGAAAACACGTTATACGATATAGCACGTACAACACCCAAAGATCCAATTTGAACAAAATTGTACTCGCCATGTTGTACAAGTTTTATATAAGGAAAGAGCTTTGTTTCTTCTCCGTCGTCATGTGACGAAATAAGAAACGGCGTAAAATACGAAACAAGGTCTGGATTTATGGCATGGAACCACGGAGCCATGGAAGTTGTGTATCTCGGATACATTATCAATAAGCCAATCACATGATACTTTTAGTACACTTCCAATCTTAGTGAATGACGTTCTAAGACCTTTAAGTCCTTGCAATGAAATTTTATAAACTTGAAGATTTGAAGGTCTCAAAGTCATTGAAATGCATCTTCTCCATCATCGTTTTTGCGCCCCATCCTTTAACATTGTTCCAACGAGGTTTCTAGCTCTAAATTTGGCAACAAACTTGCGAGTTTCGTTTACATTCTCAGGGTTCGTAGCGGTCTTTGAAATCCTTGAAAGTCTTTAAATTTGAATGCAGGTCTTTAAGGTCTTTGAAAAGTCTTTGAATTGTATGAAAAAGCGAAGAAAGTCTTTAAAAGTCTTTAAATTCTTTAGTGATTATTTGATTATACGATTTCCTAGCTAATAAAATAGATTGATTGAAGCAAGATTTTCGAAAATATCGACGAAAAAGTGCATTTTAGGATGTGATTTGACGGGACTAATTACCTGGTAAAAATGGTGCTTGTACATCGCAATTTTTCGACACCTGATTGCTCTCAAAGGTCTTTGAAAAGTCTTTGACAATAGGCAGAAAAAATCTTTGAAAGTCTTTGAAATTTTTTGGTCTTGGAGACTACGAACCCTGATTCTGTGCAGGTTAAAATTTGTAAACGATCGACGGAATTCTGTTCGAAACTCATCTACAACTCCGCTGTTTTTCATGTACCTATCTCGCCTTTATTGACATAGTCTGGTTAATTTAAAAAATACTAATTACGACATTCGCGGGATCAAAGGTGAACGGTAAAGCAGTCCAAAGGTCCATACGATTCCAGTTTTTTACCGCATCATTTGAAATTGTTGAGTGATCGGCAGTTTTTTCAAAGATCTAGAACTAGCATTCCTGGAAAACCCCATCCAGGGGCGCCGGAAGCAATGTGGAGCGGCGGGGGCAGCCATTTCAAAAGGGCACTTGCTTCTCAGCCATCATTTTTCTGGGCGGCAATATTTGTTAAAACTTTATTGTATGGATACCCGATTACTTGTGGCTATTGTGGGTCGGAAAACTTCGACATTAATTTTGAACAATTTTATTTGTTGCCTGATTTAGCATTAATCAGGGGCCGCGGAACCGGGGGGCAATGGCGGCATGTGTCTCCCCCCTTTTTCAAAGTGAAAAAATGCCCTTTTTGGGGGCTAGAAAGAAAGTTCCCTTTTTGCAGTAGTAAAGACTCTGTATAAAGGCCATTTCCGACGTTATAGGGACTCCGTATGTTCAAAAATTTTTGTTCGGCTCGTGAACGACATAAAATCGTTTGATTTTGATCATTATTATACAAAAGTGATTCCGCAGCCTCTGACATTAATTTTACTATAACTGGTTAAAATTAGGCAAAGATTGCTTAAACATTGCTTAATTAAAAATAGTTATAAATTCCAATTCATGTGAATAACGCACAAATTTCGAAGCGCAGTTCTGGTGACAAAGGGCAACCTGTTGCCCCCGTGCTGCCCCCACACTGTTTCGGCAACGGGGGCAGTTGCCCCCGCCACGGTGTTTCTTTCCATCAACGCGTCCCTACTTTAAAGTTTAAACTAACATTTAATCTTATATTTGTTATCAAGTGAAGTCTTATACTTGATACCAAGTGTACAATACTGTACAATAAATCTTTATTTTGAGTCGAAAATGAGGCTTATTAGGCCTCTAGCATCAAGCTAGGACAATCGAGTAAATTAGTGGTATCTTCTATTTTATGGAAGAAAGATCATGTATATAAAGTAAAATTAGATTGAGAGAAGTAGAGTAAAACTAACTATAATTTTATTTTTATTTAGGGTTATCAGAAGCCTAATTCAAAGCAAAACTAAGCAACTCATCAGGTGAGCTTTCTTAATAATACGCGGTTGTTTCGGATCTGTTCCGAGGATTGCGAGAAAGACCGCACTGAACCACGTGTAATGTTCTTAACTAATGCAATGTAAATTTTAATATGAATACGAATTTTAAATTACTGCGACACTTGAATCGATCACATGTCATTATTATACACCGCGGGGTGTATTAGTCGAATCATGAAAATTACAATTAAAGGCCTGGAATATATTTATTTTTACCATTTAAGTATGTTTTAGAAATTTCACGAGAGCTTAAAATACGTCTTCACGCCTGATGCCACGACGGCAAAATTCTTCGCACGCAATTGTGCCTGCGAAGTGTGGGTAGTTGAACATTTGCATGGGTGTTGAATTTTGAATATTTTGGCTGTTGAATTGTTCAATTTCACTTTCTGACATCTACTCACTGGTGAAACGATTTTTTTTTTCTCGCGAAACCTAATTTATCTTTACTACGCGCGCATGCTAAAAATTTTGTTTCGCAGGAAATTTTCGCATTTCGTCGAGAAGAAGTGCTCGTGGAATCAGTCCTTGACATATCGGGAATTCCTTAAGTACGAATACGTATGTAGTAAATCTTTTCACAGTACATTCCATGGACAAAAAGAGTGACAAATGATAAGGTTGATGGATAATGCAGAATATATCACAGTTATACTATAGGAAAAATACCAGCGCACAATTCCTCGTAGATAAGTATAGGAGGAAACAGCACGGCACTGAATTAATTAAAAACTGTTAAACGTACCTGAATATACCGTACATTTAAGCTACTACGTCTTCAGAGTTCTTTACCAACGTATTTTATCACAAAATCATTCGACTCCACGTGTACTTCTAGGCGTATACCAATGTTGTTCGGCTATAGGCGTGCAAGGTAATATTGATGAAACACTATTCAAGTATTATTGGTTGGATGAAAACAGTCGCATGAGTGATTGGTGCATGCGCACTTGATGCGTGATGTTAACTAAATTGGTTAATTATTCGCCTGCGAAAAGGTAAAGAAGCGCAAGGCATCCACGTTTTTTCGAGATTTCGATTTTACAGATAAGGTGCCCTACAGTCCGATCTGCGCATGTGCACAAAGGAGCCCACTTTTTATGATGCAAAGCCTGACTGTTGTTTCTTGATCATTTATTATAATCTAGAAGCTTGAAAATATAAATAGTTGTCGAATAAAGCTCAATATTTTGGACACAAAAATGTAAACAAAGGCTTTGTTTACATACGGACTGTAGGGCACCTTTAAAGATTAAAGAATTTTTGTTAATACAAGAGACTTTCGCAGTAGTTTGGACGATGTATGGACAGGCGAGTTTTGTGTGCTTAGTTCGTAATTTCAACTTCGAGATACTTCAGATTACACTATAGTCCCAGTCCATAGACATATAAATTTTAAATTCAATACACATGCCTCTGCATAAAAAATACGTTAGAATCCGCCTCCTTCAATGATGTCGTCAAAACCGTATGGTGCAATATCGCCATCGCAATTAATAGATGCAGACACAGCCGAGGGGGTGCATTTCGAAAATCTCTTTCGAGATTTCTTTGAGATTTGTGGGGAGTTTTAGAGAATTAACCTATAGACCAAACCTTGGGACGTTTTTGGCAGATCAAGCGTGAAGGAACAGAGGTGAATACAACGATACACAAGAAGAAACGTTATATAGCCTAAGGTAAAGTAGATAAATCCTTGCAGGTTGTTCATGGAAGATATCAAGGTGGAATTCTTCCGAAAGACAATGGCAATTGTACGCCTCCGTTGTACTAAGAAAAATTTAATAAAGAATCCTATGTTGCTGAAGAATACCAAAGCACTTTGGAAGCATACGTGAAGAAACGCTATCATTTTTCAGCACACTGACATTTTTATCAGTTATGACATCTTTAGACTTACATGGTGCACACCTCTCACCCCACCCCCCTTAAAAATATACACGCCTTCATTCAAAGGAACCTGGACTCCTTTGCAAAATAACAATTCTACACTATATAATATTTCAAAAAATATATCAAAGAAGCATATCTAAATGTCCAATATAATAGTCTAAATGTAGATTAAGAATATTTTAAATTTTTGAACAACCAGACTGTATACCAAGGCTAAAGAACATGCATTGAAATCAAAACAGGCTAATAATCATTAGTAATTTAAGTCAATCTGTAAATATTAATGTTTTCTATAACAATATAAAAAAACTTAGAGTAAATTATATGTTAGTTGTAGCCTGCATGGTATCCAAGGCCAATTAGGATTAAACCTATTGTGTGCAATGGGAATGAAGAAGATCATGAGACCACATGCTACTGCTCATCTAAAAACCTATTGTGTGCAATGGGAATGAAGAAGATCATGAGACCACATGCTACTGCTCATCTAACAAACCCAAGGACTGCAATTCATTGCCCTCTACCATTTTCTCCCTGCTGGGAATGAAATTCTAGATTTAGACCCATTGAAACTTATCTGATTTTATATTGAATATTGATATGCACATGCATCTCTTGTTGGTGGTAACTCTTTCACATTGGTACTGTGTTATGTATGGTGTTGATATTTATATTAGATTTATATTGCTATGAAGCAAACATTGTAACTTTAACTGTGTACACATCATATCTTTTTATTATTGGTATATACTATATGATTATAAATTTGTTTATAAACAAAATCCTGCAAGAATGCAGATTGAAAATGTATACTATACTACAAAGCTGAATGATTATCTGACAAGAAATGATATGGAAGAACAGAAATTTATGCAACATTTTCCTCACATAAAAATCTAATTGCCCTTCTCTTTATATCATCATGACCTGAATTTATGGATTGTTTTGAAAGGTTGAATGAATCATTTAATATTGCATTTTTGAATTTAAATTATTTCAATAAATGTTGTATTCTGAATCTTTCCTGACTGAATTTTAGACTTTATTTACAAAATTATGTGTTACAAAATTATTACAATATGCTCACAAATGAGCCAAAACATTCAAATATTCATGCAGAGTTTGCTAGCACACCAGTAGCATAAAGTGGCATAGAAGTGTAGGAATAAAATGTATAATTAAGAAGTTGAAATGCTTTCTTTTCGCCAAGATTTTGTTAAAAAAAAAGTTGTTAATGTACAATGGTACAGGTTTGTAGGCTTTAGAGTATTATTATTATAAGAAAGCCTATATACCTGATGCAATATATGTGTTGCTATAGGTTTGCCTTTAAAAGTTTAAATGAGATTCCTGCATGATAACCATTAAATATATATATATAATTTTATTTAGTGTTCTAATGCGATTATAGATTAGGAGGACGGTGGGGATTTGTCATATAGAACTTCAATAGACCGTTTGCAAGACCTGGCTATGTGACTTCCCAACCCTGAAACTCGAGCAGTCGCGTCGAAATGATGCCAATCAACAAGGTCAAAATCATTACTAGCCAAAAAGCGCGTTGTGTCCCAGTCGTACAAATCCTATTAATTAAAATAGGACTTAATCATCTCGTTTGTCTACTAATATTAAGAAATCTGCATGGTCAGGAGAGTTTCTTCTACTCAAACCCAAATGAACATTTTATTATCCTATATATTGTTAAGTGTGTGCGCGTGGTTTATATATATACTTCAAGTTTTGTTTGATAACACAATACAACTGATGTTAACTGCATGATAACTATAGGATATTTGTTTATTTTTGGTAAATGTTTGGTAAAAGATAGCAAGCTAATGAGATTGTGATCGTATGACAAATCAGTGTTAAAATTCAAGTTATATATTACATAATGGGGGAGTAAACATGTTGTACTCATATATACGACAGTAATCTTTCCTCTCACGAACGCTTTTATGTCTTCTCTATCGAAGTAAGCAATTAAAAGTATAGTTTTGTATACTATAACATGAAATGAAACTATATTAAAGAAAAAATTACAATTGCCAATTGGGTTTTCTCCGCGCTGCATAATTGTTTCGTAACGATACCAATTTTGTCATTTTAACGAAGATTGTCCGTAGTTGTAGAGTTTAATTAAAGTTCATGCAGAAAACTATAGAATATTATATTAGAGTTTTGAAATGCTCACCGTTTCTTCTTTTGTCTTTGTACCGCAACACTCTAAATCTGTAACTAATACAACTTCTTCTCTTGCACGAAGCATGAAATTTTGTCCGGCGTAGTTTTATTATGACCGAATTTGACATGAATGAATATGTCAGTTACGTCATGATGCACGACCAATCAATTTTAAGTTATCATTTTTCGTAATTATTGTAGTATTCAAATCAAATAAAATGGGTTTAATTAAATTTAATCACAGGCGAACGTCGACTTCGTCTAAATACCGTATAATAAGCGAATGTTCGTCTGAATATCGTATATATTCATTACTTAAAATAGTATCAACCTGAAGCTGTGATCCAGATAATCCTTCATCTACACCAATATATTATAGAGATCTTTTTTATTGTATAACGCATTAACGTCTGTAGATGACACAGAATTTTATCAGAATTTTTAATGCATTACATGTAACACCATAGTGTTTGAAGATTGCCTCGTTGTCCTATTGCATTTCATGGTTCGTTTAATTTAAAAAGCTCCACAATCTTGTCTCTGTTTTTCAGTGTGGTTAAGAGTTTTAATTTGTCTACCTTTGTGAACATTGACTATAAGATATAGAAAACAGCCGCGTGGCAGATAATCTGTTCATGGATGCAGTTTTTGAACTCGTCCAGAAGTGTAGTTTGACCGACCCGCCGACCACGTATAGCGACGGAATAACTTCGCTAAATACGCATCACTCACGAGTCTTCGCGTTCATTTTCTTTGGCATGCGAGTGTTGGAACAAAAAGGTCGAAGTCATTCCTCGCGACCCCACGGTTTCCGTGGCTCGACAGATGTAGTATAAGAATTTATCCCGCGTAACATATCACGAAATCACGTTGTATAACGCATAAAACGCTTGGCCCAGAAGATCAAATTTGAACAAAAAACTGTACGTATCCTCGTCATCTTAACGTCGTTTTGTCCAAGTGTATAAGGAATGTGAAAGCGGCAGAACCGCCAGAGCGTCAGTTTGCTCTTTTGTCTGGCGTCATGTGAAGAGATGAAGAAAACAGCATAAAATATGAAACAAGGTCTGGATTTATGAAACCATGGAACCATGGACTGATATCCAGTACATTGTTAATTGACCAATCCTAGCGTTTCATTTTGATCAGATGATATCTCTAGTACACTTCCAAGCTTGAAGTCCTGATCACGTCTAATCTTTCAAGATTCCAAAACTTTCTTTATCTTGGATTTTAAGATCTCGAAGTCAGTGAAATGCATCTTCTTGAATGCCACATTCTCACATCTTGACGTCAACATTGTTTCAACGAGGTTCATGAATCCTTTACACAAAGGCTACGTTGACACTATACCAGATAGCTTTCTCTAGCGGCGCGAAAAACCACCTATCCGATACGGAATGTACAACTTTCAGAAGCTGAGCGAAACAACATCTCTTCGTTGCAATAATTCCTCTGAAAATAGCGTTCCTAAAAGGTACGGATAGATGTTTTTTCACGTCGCTACGGAAAGTTATCCCGGTACAGAGTAAACGTAGCCAAAGACTTCCCGAACTTTGCTCTCTAGCTCTAAAGTTTGGCGAGAAACTTGCAAGCTTCTTCTTAATTTCCCGAGACCTAACTTAGATATATATGTTTGCATTTTGTGAACGTTGAAATTTGTCAACCAGGCCAGGGAACAAGCTTGAAAGAAAGACGGTTGACGGAATATTGTTATGAATGAATCCACAGCTCGGCTGTTTTACATATACTTTGCTTTTATTTACATAGTCTGGTTAAAAAATACTATAATACAACTGAATGATCGTCACTTGTGCCATAACGTTGGTAACGTAACGTAACGTAACGTAACTCTACCCTAGCATTGGAAGGCTGCCACATAAGTTACAGCAGTCCAGAAAAGCACCACTATGATTCCAGTCTTTTACCGCATCGTTTCCAAATTGTTGCGTGATCAGCACCCCTTCTGAGATTTTCAAAGAAAAAACATTCCAAGAACACCCCATGCTGATTTGGGGATTATGAATCTCATTATGTATGCAAATACTTCAATCTTCGTGATGAATTTTGACATTGTCAAGGTCCACTCTCCTCCGCAGA